ATAAATAATAAATATATATCATAAATAATAGATATAAATACCTTTAAACAAGATTTACAACATGTAATTTGTAGATCAGGTAAGAGATTTTTGAAATATTTTGTTTTAAATGGTTTTGGCCAATTAACAATTAATACTGTACATGGATCCATATTTTTTAGAACATTTCTTCCTACAATTATAGTAGAAGAACTAGATTTTTCCTAAAATGAATAAATTTAAATCTATTTTATTTATGTAACAACATGCATTTAAACAGATCATTAAATATTAAAAATGTTATTCAACATTATCATATTATTGAGTTTTTATTCGTAATTTATAAAATTACGAATAAAATTATGTATTAATTACTGTTACATGTATATAACAATACCTCGTATTTCATTAAACGTGCTGTAAAAAGATCTATTTCAGATGTGACAGAAAATTGATCTGTGTTGTTTGTAATATCATCAGACGATGATAATGATTCATTTATTAATTTTTCTGCTTCTTCATCAGAAATATTTTCTTCTAGTTCAAATTCGACCAATGGTAAAATTTCTGCAATTTTTACAAATATTTTACAATTTTTTTTATAATTTATCTACCAGAAATATAAAATTAGTAATATAGTGTAATACATTTTATTATATTATTTTTAATATATGTTTTAAAAAGAATGTTTTAGATAGTTATTATGCTTAAAATATAAAAATTACATTTTGTATGTTCAAAATTTATAAAAAAAAAAATGAAATTTTTTAATGAATATTCATATTCATTGAACTTAATGAATATGATTATTTTAATGAATATAAAAATTCATTAGAATTTTTTCAACATAGTACCTACCAAACATTACAAAAGAATATTGAAATTTTAGTCCGCACTGTACACATTGCCCCTGATTGTTTGAAGGCAATAAAGGATTAAACGTCGAACATTTATAGCAAAGTGGCAAAAGTTCTTCAGGATCTCTATAAGAAGAAGCTCGTGCATTTAAATTTGAAATTTCTAACTGGCTAAGTTGATTTGCCGGAATTTTTGTTTTTCGTAATTTTTCAAGTAATTGCATAATTAATTTATTAGCACCAAGAAAAGAAGCTTGTTTTAGTAATGTATATATTATGGTAAATTTTGAAACTCCTTCTACTTGAATATTTTCAGTTTTAGTTAAAAGAAATCGCGCAATATTGAAAAGAGCTTCTGGCATTAATGATGTAAACGGTTCTTCCTAAAAAAAAAGAAAAAATATAATTCTTCTTATTGTTTTTCTAACATGTTAATTTATTGCGACATATTATTAACAAATGTCTTTTAATTATTTATTTAAAATTTTTAATGTCATTATAAAGTGTATGTAACATGATTACTCACTATGTATTTATGTATTTCGTGATATGCATAATAAATTTCAGCCTTTTCGTAATATTGAAAAAACATTGTTTTCAATTCATCCATGGTTTTATTAAGATTTAAACTAATTTGAGATAAAAGCCAATAAAAGTAAGAAGCATCGCGAAATCTCTTCTCACTAACCGCATTTTTAGCCAACATTATTAAAACCATTACAGATTCATCTGATTGTCCAGCGATCTGAAATGCTACAAAACTGAATGAATATTTTTAAAAATTACATTATTTTACATAATTTAATATATACAAATGATAATTTTTTTTATATTTTAAGCTGTCTTTGCATATTGCAATTAAATTTTATTCAAACAAATAAATTTTGCTAAAATTTCATTTACCTTTTTGTGCTTCAGAGAAATGACCTGTTTCTGCCAACCATCTAGCATATGGTCCATATATTCTCGCTTTCAATTTGGGATTCCTTTCAGCTAATTCAAATGCTTCTGGCCAAGCTTGAGCTTCTATTAAAACATCTGCTACATCGGGATCATCTCCTAAGCGACTAAAAATTTCTGCTGCACCATGAGTTGCACCCAATTTTTTCAATTTTTTTGCAATTATAGTTAAATTATCTCTATCTGCCTTGTCAAGTTGTCTGCCAACTTTGATTAACATGTCAATCCAACCATATTCAGCAATTATATTTATAGCGCGATCAACATCTCCTGCTGAGAGAAACATTTCTGCTGCAGCACGAGGTTCCCCAAGACTTTTGGCCCATTCTGCTCGTTTACGAAGTAAAATTGTACGATCCTGAATATATATTATTGAAATAAAATTTTTATTTTTATTATTTCCAATTTTAATGTATCATTTTAACATATGTTGTGCCCTGTGTAACTTTATTATCAATTATTATTATAATGTAATGTAATGTGACAATATCTTTTATAAAATTTTTACCTATATGCTTCTTTTGTCATTCATATTTTTTATAAAATTACAGAATGATTAATAACGATAATTACATAGAACACTTTGTATAAAAATAATGCAGAATTGAATAAATATTACTAAATAATTTCTTGACTAACCTGATTGTTGCCACTAACAATAAATTCTTGTGCAATATCAAACATACGTAAATCAGAGTACATAGCTAAAGCATATTGCTGTAAACCAGCTTTTTGGAAAAGTTTTGCAGCATCTTTTAATTTTCCCATAGCAGCTGCAGCAGTAGCCATGCATGCTTCTCTTCCCCATTCTCCAGATTTAAGTTTTTCTTCCACTTCAGATAAAACTTCTATGTATTTTAAATTTTTTATTCTAGCAAAAGAACAGTATGCAATATTTAATTCCAAATTTTCTAAAGCAGCTGTTCCCAGAGCAAACCAGTCAGAATCTGCTACTCCAAGACATGCTATGTTATAAGCATTAGAAAATAAACCAATATCACTATATTGGTACATAAATAACGATAAAGGTACCTATATACAAATAATATTTTAGTTTTAATATATTATATGTTACATTTTATGTTATTATATGTTATATTTTAAAATATATGTTATAAATTATGTTATGTTTTACATACTATTATTTTCAAAATATAATATTTTGTACAAATTTCCTTACTTATAACATATATAATAACACATATTCCAAAATAAAAATTTACCTCTAATGTGACGATAGAAGAACCGCTTAAACAATATATTTTTGATCCATTGTTAGCCATAACAAGCCCGGAAAATTTTTGTCTATATTCCGTAAAATTGCCTACTTTAATTGTCAAATATTCTCCACTAGAAAAACACATTATATCTTCAAAACTATTATTAAATGTCACACTATTTACATTTTGAAATTCTTGGAGCTTTTCTTCTGTATATAAATCAAATACATGAAGGACTCCATGATCACTAACAACAGCAAGTTTTTCTTTCAATGAACTGATATCAAGACATCTTATTGAACCCTCAATTTTTATTAAATATGCTGGGAAAGGATTATCTAAATATATTTTCACTATGTAGCTAGTATTTAAACCTATAAAAACAAGAAACAAGAATTATTAAATATCTTATTTACTATCAAAAATTAATAAAAAATCATATTTTCATGTATACGATGTATATTAATATTAACAAAAAAAAAATCAAATTGTTATTAATGAGTAGCTTAGTTTTTGTGAAATAGATAATCTTCAATGAATTAATAATTTTATTAAAATTATAAACTAATAAACTAATTACATACAATTAATTTATCTTTTATTAAATTTTAATATTTTATTATGAATGTTCATTTATTTAATTAGTTATATCTTCAAAAGTATTTTATTTGATTCTACAAAAATTTTATCATACAAACCTATAATAAGGCACTCTTGTCCAATTGGACCACCAACAACTTTTATATAAGTTACAAGTCCATCAAGTATCCATTCCCTTTCTATTGTACCATTAAATGATAGACTTTGTAATCGTCTGTCTGTACACAAAATTAAATTATTCGTAGTAACAACAAGTAAATTACAATTTAATGCTTGATTTAACTTTTCATATATACGATAATGCATTCCATCATTAGAATTTAATGGTTCATAAATTATTACACGTTCTGATAATTGGACTGCTAATCTGTTTTTATATACAGCAATACGATGTATCTAAAAATAGAATAACACATTTTATAATGTATTTTATCAATATTTTTAATTTAAAAATCAAAAAGCGAATTTATATTTAAAATTATATTTAATATCAAACTATTTTGTTTACTTACCAAATCTTTACACTTAATGCGAACTTTTTGATTAGTAATTAAATTTTGTATTATTACATCAGTCATATTTTCTCTATATGCATATCTATCTCCATATAATCCATGTATAACGTCCCAAGCTAACTGCAAATATGTTATTGTACCATCTTGACAACCTAATGCCTATACAAAAACCACAAAACAGCTTTGAAAATAATTTTACAACTTATTAATTATGAGCATTGGAACAAATAGTAAAATAAAAATAATTATAAAATTATAAATTCAAAAAGATAAGAACTATAAAATTAAAAATTGAATAAAGAAAGAAAATCTTTAATTCATACAACATGTGTAGAAGTTGGATGTACAGCACAACTCCAAACCCAAGAAGAAAATGTACCACCAATGTTCATTAATTGTATCCCATCATATGTCATTAATATACACTGTTTGTTACTTCCAGAAACTAAAATATATTGACCGTTAGCAAAATTACACATTTTAAGAGGGATAAAACTGAGTGATCTATCTTTTCCAAATGGTTTGCCTGAAATTGAATAGAATGATAGGGTTCCGTTCCATTCTGCAATACAGAGAACATCTGTTGAATCTTCCCTATGGATAATATAAGAATTTATTACTAAAATTTATTTGCCAATTCTTTATAGAAAATATTAATAGTAATTCTTTTTACCATTGACGATTCCATAACAAGCTCCAAATAGGTACACCATTTTGTCTCTCAATTCGTGTTTGTTCTTCTCCATTCTAGGATATTAAAATAAGTTTAAATACAATTTGTGTATAATAAGTGTGTAATAAGTTTAAGCATAATTTTTGTAAAATTAAATTTTTAAAATGTTTGAAAAATCATATACAATAATTAATAATAATAAATAATAAAATAATATTTAAATAATAGAATAATATCGAATGTATTTTTATATTAACAATACACAACATACAAAGTTTTTACGTTATGTAAATTAACTTAAATTGTATTACATAAAAAGAACAAACTTTATTTCTAATCGACACATAGCCAGATGCTAAACCAATTGCTAAATATTGTCCATCGCTTGTCCAAGCACAACAATTTACTCTTCCTCTTGATTTATGCTTTACAACTGCTTTCTGTTCTGGAGACCAAAACGCTATGTCTGACAAAGAACAACTTAAAAGTTGATGTGATACTGGATTAAACTGCATAGCTTGAACAGCTTCATTATGTCTGAAACATATCACAAATATATGCTGTTATATACAGAAAATACAACAAATGTAAATTCAGCATTCTAAAATATAAGAGAAAGACTGCTTACTTTCCAAATCCACTCAATTATTATTTACAAAAACATTTAGCGCTAAAATGAAAGTCATAAGATACCAATTGTCAGGATTTATGTTTATATAAATCTTTTTGTTATTTTAATATGTTGAATTCATACTTGTACTTTTCATATATAATATAATAATCTTATTGTGTAAGAATTAATCATTAAGTTATTCAAACACAATCTCAATAATGTTATATTAGAAAATAGAAAATTTAATTCTAAGTAACAAAGTAAAAATAACTTACGAATATTTAAGTATGCCTTCCAATCTTGATGTCCAAATAATAACACTTTTGTCAGCACTACCTGATGCGAACTTTTTACCATCTCTTGCATAACATACACAATAAACTACATCCTTATGTCCTACAAAGTATAAATAGAAATATAATTCATATTTTATTAAATTAGATCATTTATTTGGTTTTACAAGTTCTTTTACCTTTTAATGGTTGAATCAAAGTACCTTCATTAGTTTCATAAACAAGAACTTGCTGTCCAGCAGCAATAACTAACTGAGTTCCATCCGGATTAAAACATAGATCATATATACTGCAAACATTGCAAAAATATTAATAATATTATTGCTATAAATAGTATAAAATAATATATATCAATATAATACAATAAAGTATCTTTTTATGTTACGTAAAATTTTTATATCGAAAAATCAGAAATTAACAAATTGTTAAGGGGATAAAATAAAAATTACTATCATTAATAAAGAGATTCTAATTTTTGTGAAGAAAAGATTCTTTGCTTATATATAAACTTATATGTTACGAAACAATAAATATATTCAAAGCGTAATGAATGATAAAAGTATAATTATTAATATTGTTTTAAACGATTGTAAAAATATAACTACTATTTGTTATTTATATATATTTATAATACACATTAAAGACTTTGAATTATTCTATAATAAATTTCGTAAAATTACCATCGTTCGGATTTATCTTGAACCTTATCAACCCAAGTAGGAGAAGCTTTCATTGTTTATTCTTTTATTTATTCACAGATACACATATACATGCGGAAAACTTAATTTTACAATAAAATTTTATGACATTATTTTACTTTGTATAAAAGTTTGTTTTTATAATTTCCATGGAAACAGTTAAAATGGCGGCATACATGAAAAAGGGATTAAAATTTTAATTCGCGAAAAAGCGATTTATTTTTCATTTTATAAAAAAATCAATACAGATATTTTATAATCATATACATGTAAAATTTAATATTTAATTGTATATAAATATATAAACATCATATGTTTATGTAAATGATATAAACACTGATGTATATATATATGATATAATACATATATCTTCTTTCAAAGAAAATAATTATAAAGATGTAAACATATATTATTAGAAAAATAGAAAGAGCATACCTTATGATGAATACAAATCTTATGCTTCTAATATAAATGTGCTTGCTTCCAATATTTCAAAATGTATTTGCTTTTCCATATAAAATGATTCTTTAACCAATTAACATTTATATTAAGATAAAAACAATTGGCCAGCTTTCATTTATTTTACCTCATCAGCTTTACAATTCAAATAATTTTCACTAACTAGAATTGTCTTTTATACACGCAATAATAATAATGATAATGACAACAATTTAACAATAATTATAACTTTATTATAAAAGGATTTAATTATACATATTAGAATTTTACAGTATATTAGAACACAAAATATTCCAAAATAAAAACCAAATAGGAAACATCGTGGAAATTGTCACATTGTATAACCAATTGCCATAGATCATTGAATCCATAATACTGAAAACAAACGCTTGTTTTATAGCACGATATCCTCGAAACAAAATCAAGGGCAAAGAATCAGAAGAAAAATTCACGTATGTGTAACACATTATGATTAAACTTGCAATCATAAATGGATGTAGAGAAATCCATCCAAAAGAAAGCATTCTGTGAAATCTGTAACATAATTTTGTTAATTCTATCTTTTTCTTTAAATAGAAAAAAATTAGAAAGCAATAATTTGTAATTAATCATTTCTTTTATTTAAGAAAAGAACTTTTAGAATTGAAAAGTTATGAAGTACAACGTTTCAAATGTTTTAATGTAGTAACTAAATTACTTGAATCTAAAAGGAATTTAATCTTCGAAGGTTACTTACTTGGTGAAATTTTGTTTCAGCATGATTGGCAGAATAAATACATAAGGTACATAAATTACAGCAGCAAGAAGTGCTAAAGAAAAATTATGCATTGCTATACACATTAATACAGTGCCTAACTCCACTAACGCAATCACACAAATTAAAGCTGCATTTTTATACTTCATTTGTCTAAAAGTAATAAAATTTACTTACAATTCGTAATAGCACGAGTTAATATATTAATACAAACATTACCTTCTAGAATAAAATGGCCATATTAATGTTAAGATAGTTATTGCCACAAAACCAAAATATATTGAATCTTCTGTACGAAAATCCATTTTTTTACCAACATAAGTAAGTGCGAATGGGGATGTTGCAATCGCAACGCCACAAATATGAGCCCACAATATTTCTGACGTAATGACGCCAATGTCAAATCCATCATCCTATAAAATATACAACACGTTATAATTATATAATATTTTGTTATATTAAATTAATAATTTGTATATATTACTATTATTTATGCGTTAAGAACACAATCAAAAAGACAAACCTTTGATTGTTTAACAACAGTATTTTTCTTATCTTCTATAGTAGCGGATACTTGAAGTCTTTGCCACATAGAAAATGCTTTCACAAATATTCCACCAATAATTAAAACTAAAGATCTTATGTAAAGTCCTAAAATATTTTTCCAGTGGTAATTATTTATATCTTATTACTAAATATATATATGGACAAACTATATATATATATATATATATATATATAATATATTATAATTATTT